GCACCGGGTAGTGTGCTTGCACCTACGTGGTATGGCCGGTGATCCCACGGCGGAGGAGTGTTACTCCCGGGCTTTGGTTATTCTACGGCTGTCCCGCGTCCCTCGGGAGCAACGCTTGCTGCTGCACAACTACACCTCCACCGTTGCCATTGCCGATGCCTTCCGTCATCATTTTCCCGCCACGCTATTCAGTTTTTCGTTGGCCGTGAGTGGGTTCAACAACCAACAACGCCAGGCATGCAGGCACATCGAAGCCGTGGATGACTGGCGGTTGCTGCTGGAATCCGATGGGCCACACTTCGCACCAGCAGGACATCGAGTTGGTTCCCCCCATCTTCTATGGGCAACAGCGGCAGCAGTTGGGGAGGTGCTCGGCCGTGAACCCCGTCAGATCCTGGATCTGACATGGAAGAATGGACGGGACCTTTTCTAAAATGCAGCATGCCCTAAAAAAAAGATTTTATGTTTGTTTTTATATTCTGTTCTGGAAATTAATTTACTTTATATTTTTCAGACCCGGATGATTCAGCATAGTAAACATCCGAGAGAATTGCTCTTCGCATTATTCCCCGTTGAAGACATCAGTGTACGTCCACCGGGTTTCCTGTACAATATGTGACTCAGCGAACCCATACGTTTTCCGACTGGTTATCAACGGGATGATGTCAACTCTTTTCAAATAAGGGAGGAGTGTAGTGACGGCCGCCGTCTGTTCGAGAGACTGATCAACGGTAACGACCTCTAACCCCGGCATCTGTGTATTTGCATATCCTGCCCTCAAGTGTGCAGAGGAGGGATCGCCGAGATCTTGGGGAATTGCCGTCACTCGTACACTGGACTTAATGCAAGACGCATCTCGGCTAACGCTGCAGGATTGGTTTTCGTGTATCTGGTGTCCGGGTCTGTTATACAGGATATATACCATACTATATGCGGCGTGTATTATTACTCTGTGTGCACTGTGGTTGGATATATATAACTGGAGTACTGGAGATCAACGTCGGGCCGATATGTTTGTGCAACGTCATCAAACTACGTTGGGCCAACGTTCCTTACTGATGTTGCCTAGACGTTAGCTTTTCCATCTTGCCAACGTCGATTCAGCCAGTTGGAAAGACGTCGGGCCGACTAGTTGGATCAACGTCGTCCACCCACGTTGGAACAACGTACCTTTTCTGATAAGACGTTCGCTTTTCCACCGGGCCTACGTCGGTTCAGCCAGTTGGAAAGACGTCGGTCCGACTAGTTGGATCGCCGTCGGGGCGACGGAGTTTGTGCAACGTCATCAAACTACGTTGGGTCAACGTTCCTTTTCTAATGTTTGCCTAGACGTTCGGACGTCAACGTTCCTTTTCTAATGTTTGCCTAGACGTTCGGTTTTTCATCGGGCCAACGTCGATTCAGCCAGTTGGAAAGACGTCGGTCCGACTAGTTGGATCAACGTCGGCCGATATGTTTGTGCAACGTCAAACCACGTTGGCCCAACGTATTTATACTAACGTTGGTTAGACGTTTGTATATTTATCAGGCCAACGTGGGTTCAGCTTCTTCGAAAGACGTTAACCCAACTAGACTAACGTTGACCTGACGTTAAGCAAAGTTTACACACATTTTGAGAAAAATATCGTCTTAACTACTGTACTGGTTGGAGCAACGTCGATCCAAAGTTTGTTCTAGCGCCGACTTCAATATACCGGCAATGAAGGTATATTATGCAGTTCCAGTTGCTTTTTTGTTGGTCTTCGGACGATAGGTCAAGGTGCATTCTAATTTATATGGCAGCATCACGACGTCGCTGGTCTGATATGTTTTAGTCTGTATTGAGTATTCGTTACAGTTTTTTAACTTAACCGTGCAAAATATTGACGGGTTTTAATTAAGGCTTGTGTACTGCGTTGATCAGGTGCCCTAATATCTCATTAAAACTATTTTTAAAAATAGATATTTGGAGAATAGATTATTCTAGCGTTCTAAAAGAAAGTACCCAATACAATAAAATCTTTCACTTTATTATTTTATTACTATAAATGAATGTATATACATGTATATATAACATATAATAGAGTCTATATCAATAAGGCGTAATACACTAATAGTTGATTTAAACTCAAAACAAAATAAAATCTGAAATTCAGCCTGGGTCATTGAGATAGTGCGCGGAAGAAAGTCCAAGGTGATCAAGCCATTGTATTCGTGTGGTTTTATGCATTTTTATCATTAATATCACAATTATATCAAATTTAGTAGGCGCATAAAAACCTAAATTTAAAAATGTGGCGATGTCAAGCAAAAACGGTCGGAAGTCGGAAAAACCAATGTTTATTTAACACCATCAACTGAATAATCACATTATAATAAATAAAATAGTGAAAAAATTATTAAATTCTGATACTTAGTTCTAAAGTTATACCGATTTATATAGCGCGAGGTTAGCAGAAACGGCTTTGAAGAAACGGCGATAAAACTGATGTTTATAACGCCCAGTCGCTGGCAGTGCGCTCAGCGTGTAGCTCACTCACATGTGTTCGGTGTGTTCGATACTTCCTTAACAACGGAGGTGTTACCATTGACCGATTGAAATGAAATTTCGCAGAAACATTTTACATAATGTATTTTATAACTGTACATTCATTAATAAATGTGATATTACGGATTCAAATGTGATGGTCGTTTTTACTGTAAACAACCGGAAATCGAACACTGCGACCTTGAAACCAGTGCGTTAAACTATTACAGAACACGTTTTATTCGTCGTCAACTTTATCAAGTCTGTGTTATACAGTATAGACCATTTTGCATGTACCTGTACTACCGAACTTTCTTGTGTAAAAGAAACAGTATTATTGTTATATAATTATTACAGGTGTATAGCAAACCTTAAAGAAGTGATGCAATTTTAATTCAATATTTATTTTTTTTTATTTAAACATCAGGAATTTCAATCTGTACGTAATATAATATCACTTTCTGTTGATTGTGGTTTTTTTTTTTTTATTTTCAGTTGACGTTAGTTAAATTTTCTATTATACCATCATCATTGATGATTTATAACAAAACAAATATTAATAACAATCACCACCATCAACTAAATTTTCTATCATGCCATCATTATTGATTTATCACCAGAGCAGGTTATAATAACAATCACCACCATCACACAATTTTATATGTTGTCTAATTATAATGGTTAACAAACAACACAACAAAGTACAAACACTGTCGTTTATTAATTTTAATAATCTTTATTATTATAACATACACAGATAATCATAGTAATAAGTGTAAACACCTATTAATTACATGTTTTTTATGGCGAGTCGATATAAGAAATATACTGTACTGAAAAAAGTAAATTTATGATTTATTTCTTTTTAATCATTTTAATTTAATAATTAAAGATAAAA